CCAAACAAAAGCTAAGGGAGTTCACCACCAGGAGACCTCCCTTACAAGAGATGCTGAAAGGAGTCCTCCAAGTTGAATGAAAGGCTGCTAATTAGTAATGTGAAACATATGAAAATATACAACACACTAGTTAAGGTAAATGTATAGTCAAATTCAGAATACCCTAATACCATATTATGGTGCTATGTTAACTACTTAATTCTAGTATAAGGGTTAAAGGACACGAGTATTAAAAATAACTGTAGCCATAATAATTTTTAATATACAACATAAAAATAGGTAAATTGTGACATCAAAAACATAAAAGGGGAGAGCACAAGGGTAGAGTTTTTGTATATGATTAGAGTTGTTACTAATGTAAATTAGACTGTTATATCTAAAAGATGTTTTAAGTAAATGTCATGGTAAACACAAAGCCAAAATCTATAGTAGATTCACAGAAGGTAAGGAGAAGGGAATCAAGCTTACCACTACAGAAAACCATCAGTTCACAAAAGGAAGGAAGCAAGAGAGGGATGAAAGAACAAGGGAACAACACAACAGCTAACAAACAATTAATAAGATGACAGTAGTAAGTCCTTACCTATTGGTAATTACTCTAAATGTAAATGGATTTAATTCTTCAATCAGAAAACAGAGAGTGGCTGGATGAATTTAAAAAAACAAAACAAAACAAGACCCAACTCTATGCTGCTTATAAGAGACTCACTTTAGTTTTAAGGGCGCAGACAGGCCTAATGTGAAGGGATGGAAAAAGATGTTCCATGCAAGTCAAAACCCAAAGAGAGCCGGGGTAGTTACACTTATATTGGACAAAATAGACTTTACGTCAAGAACTGTAACAAATACAAAGAAGATCATTATATAATAATAAAGTGGTCATTTCTTTAAGAGGATATAATAGTCATAAATATACATATATCCAACAGCAGAGCACCTGAATATATTAAGCAAATACTAACAGATCTGAAGGGAGAAATAGGCAACAGGACAATAAGAGTAATCTTCAATACCCCACTTTCAACAATAGACAGATCATCCAGACAGAAAATCCATAAGGAAATGTTGGACTTGAACCACACTTTTGACCAAATGATCCTGTCAGACATGTGCAGAACAGTCCATCCAGCAGCAGAACACACATTCCTCTCAAGTGCATGCAGAACATTCTCCAGGATAGATCTTATGATAGGTTACAAAACAAGTCTTAGCAAACCTAAGAAGGTCAAAATCATACCAAGTGTCTTTTCTGACCACAGTGGTATAAAACGAAACATCAAGCAGAAGACGAAAACTGGAAAATTCACAAATATGTGGAAACTTAATAACATACTCCTGGACTACCAATGGGTCTTAGAAAAAAAATTAAAAATGTCTTGGAAGAAACAAAAATGGAAACACAATATAACAAAACTTATGGGATGCAGCAAAAGCAGTTCTAAGGGGAAAGTTTATAGTAATAAATACCCCACATTAAGAAACGAGAAAGATGTCAAATAAACAACCTAATTTTACACTTCGAGAAAGCAGAAAAAGAACAAACTAAGCCCAAAGCAGATGGAAGAAAATAATAAAGATCAGAGAAGAAATAAATAGACCAGAGAAATAAGAGGAAAGACCAATGGAACTAATAGCTATATTTTAACAAAAACACAGTGACAAACCTTTAACTAGGCCTACCAAGAAAAAAAGAGAGAAGAATCAAATAAATAAAATCAGAAATGAAATAAGACATTATCCCTGATATCACAGAAATAAAAAGGATCATAAGAAATTACTATGAACAATTACGTGCCAACAAATTGGATAACCTAGAAGTGGATAAATTCCTGGAAACATGAAACTTACCAATATTGAATCATGAAGAAATAGAAAATTTTAACAGATCAATAATGAGTAGAGATTGAATCAGTAATCAAAAGTTTCCCAACAAAGAAAAGCCCAGAAGCAAATGTTCTCCCTGGGGAATTCTACCAAACATTTAAAGACTTGTCACTAGTCCTCAAACTCTTCCAAAAAATTGAAGAGGAGGGAACACTCTCTAACTCATTTTACACGGCCAGCATTACCCTGACACCAAAGGCAAAAAAAGATATTACAAGAAAAGAAAACCATAGGTCAATATCCCTGATAAATATAAACACAAAAATTTTCTTTCTTTTTTTTTTAAGGAAGTTTTTGTTTTAATTCCAGTTTGGTTAACATACAGTGTTATTTTAGTTTCAGGTGTCACAAAAAAATTTTCAATAAAAATATTAACAAACCAAATTCAACAGCACTTCAAAGAATCATGCACAATGATCAAGTGGGGTTTATCCTTGGCATGCAAGGATGGTTTGACACATGCAAATCCATAAATATGATACACCACATTAATAGAATGAAAGAAAAAGTCATAAAATCATCTCAATAGATGCAAAAAAGCCTTCAACAAAATGCAGCATTCTTTTTCATGATAAAATCTCCCAATGAATTGGGTATAAAATATAAGAAACACAAACCATAAGAAAAAGATTGATAAATTGGTTATCATCAAATTTAAAACATTTTCATTAAAAAATACCATTAAGAAAATGAAAAAGGAAGCCATAGATGGTGAGAAATTACTTGCAAGCACAGAATTAATATTGTTTGTTTCAGCATTATTTTTGTTTTGAGATATAATTCACATAACATAAAATTCACCATTTTAACGTGTAATCTCAATGATATTTGCTATATTCACCACCATCTAATGCTAGAATGTTTCTGTCAACCCAAAAAGAAACTTCTTACCTATAAGCAGTTAATCTGAATTTCCCCTCTTCCCCATCTCCTGGCAACCACTAATCTACTTTCTGTCTATAATATGTGTTCTTTTGTTTGGCTTCTCTCACTTAACACAATGTTTTCAAGCTCCATCCATGTTGTAATCTGTAATAATACTTCATCCCTTTTTATGCCTGAATCACATTCCCTTTTGGGGATATACCATATTTGTTTACCATTCCTCAGTTGGCTTGTTTCCAGTTCAGGGCTATGATGAATAATGTTGCAATGAACATTAAGATACAAGTCTTTGTGTGGACATGTTTTCAATTCTCTTGGGTATATGCCTAGAGGTAGAATTGCTGTATCATATGATAACTCTGTTTAACTTTTTGAGGAACCGTCAAACTGTTTTCTTTTTCCTTTTTTTTTTAAGTAGGCTCTACACCCAGCATGGAGCCCAATGTGGGGCTTGAACTCACGACCTTGAGATCAAGACCTGAGCCAATATCAAGAGTCAGATGCTCAACCAACTGAGCCCCCAGGCGCCCTTCAAGCTGTTTTCTAAAAGGGCTTCATCATTTTACATTTTCACCAGCAGTGTATGAGGGTTCCAATTTCTTTACATCCTCACCAACAGGAATTGTTTCTTTTTTATTTTAGTCTCCCTAGTGGGTGTGATGTAGTATCTCACTATAGTATCTCTCTATAGTTGTTTTTCTTTCTTTTTTCCCTTTACCCATCCCCCCACTCACCTCCCCTCTGGCAACCACCAGTGTGTATCTGTGTATCTGTATCAAAGACTCAGTTTGTCTCTTTTTCTTTTTGTTTGTTCATTTGTTTTGTTTCTTAAATTCCACATATGAGTGAAATCATATGGTATTCATCTTTCTCTGTCTGACTTATTTTCCTTAGCATAATACCCTCCAGGTCCATCCATGTAGTTGAAAATGGTAAGATCTCATTTTTTATGGCTCAGTAATATTCCATTATATACATCTTCTTTATCCATTCACCTATGGATGGACACTTGGGTTGCTCCCATATCTTGGCTATTGTAAATAATGCTGCAGTAAACGTAGGGATGCATATTTCTTTTTGAAATAGTGTTTTAGTTTTCTTTGGGTAAATGCTCAGTAGTGGAATTACTGAATCATACAGTAATTCTATTTATAATTTTCTGAGGGACCTTCATACTGTTTTCCACAGTGGCTGCATCAGTTTACATTCCCACCAACGGTGCACAGGATTATTTTTTCTTCACATCTTTGCCAACACTTGTTTCTTGAGTTTTTAATTTTAGCTATTCTCACAGGTGTTTTGTGATATCTCACTGAGGTTTTAATTTGCAACTTCCTGATGATTAGTGATATTGAGCTTCTTTTCATGTGCTTATGGCCATTAGTATATCTTCTTTGGAGAAATATCTATTTTGATCTTTGGCTAATTTTTAGGACAATAGTTTTCTTTTTGTTGAGTTGTATTTATGTGTTGGTATTTTTAGTGGGATAGATTGATTCGTTTACAGAGAACTGTGGTCTTCTTAAGATTATCAAAGACTATATGCTTTTCCATATACCCAGGTCCTTTCTGCATTCTTCAGTAACGTTTTAAAGTTTATTTCATACAGATCTTATGCTTCTTATTATGTTTATTTCTAATTATTTATCTTTTTATTATTGTAAATTACTCCAATGGTTCAATATTGACAACCAAAAAAGGCATTTGAAAAACTATGTGGTTCAAATTCAGGCCAAGTTTTGATCTGCAACCTCAGATCTACCCCAGCAATTTGCTTTACAGGGAAGAACGCAGACGCCTAGAGATGTTGAGTGACTTTGTCAAGGCCACACAGCGTGTAGGTAGCAGGGATAGGCACTAAAGCCCAGGTATTCTGTCTCTGCGTTTATCCTCACTCTGGATCCAGAGCTCTGCCATCTTACCAACCTCCATAAAATATGGCAAATGTTCTCACATGCTTTGTGAACTCCTATTTGCTTAGGGACTGACTTCACCAATCAAGATAGGAATTAGATAAAAATTTGACAGAAGTTAGGCGAAAAAAGGAGAGTAAAACAATGGCTAAGTGAGAGAAAAAGCAAAAATTTAGACGCACACACACCTCAAACCCTCAAACCTCCAGAGCTTCCTGCCTATGAACCGAAAGGGGGAGTGTGAGTTGCTTGGCCCTGGGGGCAGGTGTGAGCCTTCTCAAAGGCCCCATAGTCTTCCACTTCCTGAGGAGGCAGCAGCAGAACAAAGCCCGCAGACTCCTTTGCTCTTCTGTGTCCCAGCCATGGCTGCCACAGCCTCGGCGTCCTGGCACCATCCTGGGGGAAAAGACAAGACGGCGTGGAAGGTGCTGGTTATGGTGGCCTTGCTGCAGGCACAGCTCCCAGTTACAGGTAAGGCCGGACATCTCGGTGGCAAGGAGCTTCTAGAAACTCTTTGTGCGTGTGTGTTGGGTGGGTGGGGGGTGGGGAATGGTGGAGGGCTAGTGAGGAGCTGGTGTGTCTTTTGAATCCTGTTCTCCTCAAATCGAGGGGCGGCTGAGCAGGGGGGATCGGGCTCGATGCCGGCATCGGTTCCTCACAGCCGAGCTGGGCATCGGGTCAGAGCCAGCGGCCTGAACACACCTGCCTCAAGGCCAGGTTTTTCCGGTGATAAAAGGAGAGAGGAAAGTCCACGGAGGGGAAGGATGGGGAGGAAGGAGGCAGAAGAGCCACGGAGGCAGGCCCAGTGTGGAGAAAAGGAGAAGGAGCATTTAACAGAAGCTGGATGAGATGAGAAAATGTCAGCCAGGCCATCTTTCTCGTCTCGGCATCTTCTTTTACCCCCTTGCTGGCTCCATCACTCAGCCCCTTTTCTTCTTCCTTTTCCAGCAAAAACTTCTCTTGTTGGTCAACCAGGGTCACAGCCGTGACCTAAAGCACCTGGATGGGGCAGGGACTAAGCAGCAGGGTCAACGAAAGGGGGAAGGGGTCTTCCTCGGGGTCCGTGTCACGACACAGCTCTGTCATGGCTGCCCCCTCACCCCATGGCCCAGGGCGGCCCTGTGACACACCCATCGCAGGCTTAGTGACTCACCCACCGCCCCCCACTGCAAGCAGCTCTCCATCTGAGGCCAAAAAGCTAGAGATGCTGACAGAGCGTAGGGACAGATGAGAGGATGTGACCTGTTAATCACCACCAACCAACCAGCAAGAGAACTTACTCTTCACCTCGTTTGGTTCACGGGAGCCTGGCTTTTCTAGAATACTTTCACTCCCACCATGTTTTCTAGGCCAGGTAATGAGGAGAACATGTGAAAAGAAGACAAAACAGACTGTCTTGGGGGTTTGGGGCCACAGCATTTTTATAAGGAATGGGACCAGCCGTATTTGAGTCTGAAGAAACAGGGAGGGTGGTCACAGGCAGACGACCTTCCCCCACCTCACAGGTTGCTTCAGCGTGGGAGAGCGTTTAGCGACAATGGTGGGAGGGCAGGAGAGGCCACGGGCACTTCTGCTCCTGACGGGGACCATGGCACAGCCTCAGCTTGGTGCCTCAGGGGTTCTGAGGCTAAGTAACCATGGGGTTTTCTGTAAGATCGCAGCTTTCTTCTCAGAAAAGCCTTTGTTGGGTATGAGTCACATGGCGCTGTAGGGTGAGGGCTCCAGAGCAAGCCCCAGGCAGCCCACCCTGTGTGCAGGCGACAAGAGGACCACGGTAGCCTGGGAGCTCCCTGATTTCAGGGGTGCGGCTGACGGCAACAGCCTCAGACCGTGGGCTTCAGGCCACAGAGGTAATTCTGCTACGCAGAGCTTCCTCACCAGGCCGTTTGTGCTGGCCTTGGGGCCCAGGTAGCAGCAAAGAAGGGGTAGAAGAGAAAAAGAGGAGCTGCTTGGGGGGTTGGTGGCCGCCGAGAGCGGCAAACCAAATCCCACCCGGCAGACCAGACGGGGGCCGCGCCCATTACCACAAATGGCAGCACAGGAGGGAAAAGTTAGAGTGGCTGGATTTTTCATCTTTCCATGCCCCTTCTTTGCGGGAGTGGAGATGGACATGTCAGCTACTCCCAGAGAAGGCTCCTAGACGAAAGTCCTTCCAAGCGTCTCGCCCAGTTGAGGGGAGGGGAGCGGAGACTTGGGCCTTTAGCCCTGAGGGCTGCAAATGGCTCCATGTTGCCTTTACGACTGCGCTGGGCGGAAAGGCTGCTGGTGGGATTTGAACTGGGGCCTTCTCTCTTTTCTCGCTCAGTTAAGTCACCCGTCCCCGAACGTTTTTTAAAAATCCACTTTTTACTAAGATTTTTCCATTTGCCTTTTACGGAAATGCCCAGATCATGAGGATCAAAGCAAATATTGACCTAGTCTGTCTACATGAGGAGGTGTCCCCAGGTGAGAGTCTCTCACTGCGGTCACCGGGGTCCGCGGCTGGAAGCGACAAAGGCGGTGTGCTTAAACAGCACAGACTCACTTCTGCCGGCAGAGCCGTCAGCCGCTCAGTCCCTATAACTGTCTCCCCTACGGTGGCCAAGAGTGCGCCCCGTGGTTGGCGTGGCCATTGTCCTGCGAAGCGAGGACACGCAGCTATGACACAAAATCTTGGGGAGTGCAGGTTCCCACGCTCTACTTTTAGGGAGGTGGCTGGATGTGGTGGCAAAAGTCAGGTCAAACCCAGAATCCCAGTGCTGCCACTTTCCTAGCTGTGCAACCTTAGACAAGTTACTTAACCTCTCTGGGCCTTGGTTTTCTCCCCTCTAATGTAAGGATAACTTTCCTTGCAGGGCTGTAAAGATGAGAAATGAATGTGATGTGCTTGATACATAGCAGACAGCCAAACCATGGAAGCAGTATTAATTATTACTATTATTACATCATGGTCTGTTTTCTTGTTCTCGGTATCTAGCAACAGGAAATGGAAACCCATGGTTAGAATTCTTAATTTGCTCTCAACTGGGTGGTAAACAGCACTGGCCATTCTCTCCATCGGTCGAAATCCAACTCATCCTCCTTTCGAGTTCTGAGCATACCCATTCTAGCACAGGAACATAGTGGTGATCCAGCAGAGCGGTGGGCCCATTCGTGAACAAGGATCGAAGCTTTGACAGGCCACAGGATGAGGATTAGAATGGCCGTTTTTATTTTCTAAGACAACTTACTCTGTAGGGGCTGTGCCCCCAAAGGGAGAACAGGCTCCAAAATATATAATATAAATAGGGGGAAGAAAAGTGAGACAAAATCCAGCAGGTCGTCCCTGGTCAGGATGGCCACCCGAATTTTGAAGCTGAATGCTTGGTGTGCGTGCCCAGTGACCGGATAGTTAAATGTAAACTTCTCCAACACCAGATCGTTGCTTAAACTGCTCGGAGCTGGATGTGAGGGGAGCTTCTAAGTGATGCAGAACAAGAGGACAAGATTTGCTTCAGTGGCATTCACCTGTCTCTGCTCATCCAGATGAGCGACTAATATTTTCTCCCTTGGCATTTCTCACACTTGCTGGTTTAGAGACCACAGCCGTGGCTGTGTGAGATGTCGCCCCGTCCTGGGAAGCTCTTGCTTCGGTGAATGACCACTGCTGTATGTATTTAAGATTCTTTTTCTGTTTGCCTTTGTCTTTAAAAAATTAGACTTAACGTTTACTGGATGTACGCTTTTACTTTCCAGAGTCCCCAGGCATTGTGTCTCATGTTTTATTTAGAAGGGTTAAGGCACTAACTCGGGAACTGTTTTGCATTAGGGCTGTCCAAACCTGCACTTCGGGAATCCTTTTTCTCCTGAGCCGTCTTTACCTATGGTCAGCTAATGGATTAAGTAAACAGCAGGGATCGGTCAACATAGACTTCTTCTCTGCTTGGGCCAACGTTAGCTCTTATTAAGACTGAGCTGATGGTAGATTTAATCAATTTGAGCAAACATTCAGTCAATTTGGTTAAAAAATCATCACACCAGTCACTTGACACATTAGTTGAAACAAACCGGTTAGTCCTGTGGTACTGAGCCGTTCCTTCCAGCCTAAACAACATGAGTCTATGTTCCCTGAGGGAAGGGGAGCCTCAGTCTTGCTCGGAGAGGTGTGCGGTGCTTAGCCCACTGCTGGGAGCAGAGGCCACACACAGTACATGCATGCTTGTTGAATGAATTCAAAAGTGGATGAATGAAAGAAATCTAGATGTTTCCATGTGATTAACTTTAATGGTTTAGTGGGTAGGGAATACATTGGCGTGGCATTATTTGGACGTTTCATCTACAGAACTTAGCATTTAAATTTAAACCAAACAAAAAAACAGACGTTAAGCTGGTGGAGGGGACAGGGCAGCGTGAGTGAGCAAAATGATTCAAAATGAGTTGCGAGGATGGTTTAAGATAAAATCTGCTGTTATTAAAATTTTTGATGTAAAATTTCCGATATTTGTTTGTTTTGGACCTACGAACAAGATAATTTCATACGACTCAAATAATATTATATCTCAAAAATAAATCGATACACGAAAAACGTTCATTTTTCTGACTTGGCTTAAACCCTAGGGAAAAAGCAGAAAATAAACAAGGCTATCAACTGTTGGAGAATGTTGACCAATAACATTAAATGAGAGGTACCAGGAGAAAAATAATTTTGTGGATTATGGCAAAAAGCACAGTATCCAATTGCCTCAAAATATGGAAAGAAGAAAAAAGCAGGTTACCTAACCAGTGTAGTCTGATTTGGTCTAGGTTACTAACTAAGTGTTCCAAGTAGCTCTTGATGTTTTCCCCTCTCTTAATTCGAGGTATTTTAATAAAAATATCATAAACTCATTTGAGGAAATTATACATTGTTTAAATCCATAATCTCACAAGCTAGCCCAATAACTTTTCATTTGGACTTCTTTGTGTTCCACTCCAATGTTTTTTATAAGTGTATACATATCTTTATGTAATTGCCATCATAAAAGCATTTCCGTGTGCTGTTTTCTTAGTAATCCATTGTGAGCATTTTTTATGCTTAGCCTTCACCATTTTTTGTTTTAAAGATTTTATTTACTCATTTGAGACACAGAGATACAGAGAGAGAGCGCATGAGCAGGGGGAGAGGCAGAGGGAGAGGGAGAAGCAGGCTCCCCGCTGAGCCAGGAGCCCGATGTGGAGCTCGATCCCAGGACCCTGGGATCATGACCGGAGCCGAAGGCAGACGCTTAACCATCTGAGCCACCCAGGCGCCCTACGATTGTTTTTAATTACTATGTAAATTTCCATAGTTTATGCATTGTATTTTCCTACTCCTTTATTGTTGGACATTTGGGCTGTTTCTAATTTTTATTATTATAGCTAATGCTGCAAGAAAATCTTTACATTCGTAGCTTTTAAAATTTCTTTTGAATTCCTTCCTTGGGCTTAATTTCTCCAGGATTGACAATGAAAGGAATTGGTTAAAGTAAAAGAAC